CATACGCACACACACACACACACACTCAGTGGCAGCGATGCTCTATGGTTTCCCTAGGTCACCACTGATTGGGATTTGCAAGGCAGAGGAGGAAGGTAACAGTTACTACCCAGCACTAAAAGCACCAAATAGATGGTTTGAGAACTGAACCAGTTCCTTCTCACCAGTGCAGCCTACTCTGGGACTGTGATAGTCCAGACACACACACACACTCACACACACACATCACCATGGCTGTAAGAAACATCTGAAAAGGTGAGCGAGCACTTTAGTTCCCCGCCCCCACCCTCCACAGATGAATCAGTATTATACAGCTCAATTTACCCAGGAAGAGGCCGACTGATTGACGGGCTCCGCTGTATCCGTCAAGATTACTAAATGGCTTTTAAAAACATATTCGAATCCCTAGGTTCACTCAGCTTTCCCCCTCTGCGGAATTTGAAGTTTCAAATACCCCAACTAACACAATTGATGTTCAAGTTCTAGTGACTCTGGGAAAGGATTTCTGCCTTGAGCACTTCATGTGTCCATGAGATTAAAAATTAATCCAAAACAGTAACAGGAGAGGGGGTTGGGTCCATGACTTAAAGGCCGGGGATTTGATAGACTAGCTCATATCCCTTAAAATATGTAAGAATACCCTACAGGGAAAATGTGTTTATGAGATAGTTCAAGTAGGACGATTCAAAATAGAATTACGCCGGGCAGTGGTGGCGCACACCTTTAATCCCAGCACTTGGGAGGCAGAGGCAGGCGGATTTCTGAGTTCGAGGCCAGCCTGGTCTACAGAGTGAGTTCCAGGACAGCCAGAACTACACAGAGAAACCCTGTCTCCAAAAACCAAAAAAAAAAAAAGAAAGAAAGAAAGAAAGAAAAGAAAAGAAAAGAAAAAACCAAAATAGAATTACACAAACATACAAATACACATAAATAAAATAAAAGAGTTAGAAAAATTATCCCTACCTTTGATTTTTTTTTCCTATAACTCTCAGTTTTGGCAAAACTAAAACAACAAACAAATGCAACCTCAAAAAATGTCTAGATAGGGGCTGGAGAGACGGCTCAGCAGTTAAGAGCACGGGCTGCTCTTCCAGAAGTCATGAGTTTAATTCCCAGCAACTAAAACTGTATCTTTTATTTTTACTATTTTATACATTATTTGTGTCTGTGTCTGTGTGGATTTGAGCAAGTGGGGAGTCCTCAAAGACCAGAAGGGTAGCATCAGGTCCCCTGGAACAATGGTTCCCAACCTGAGGGTCACGACTCCCCTAGGGCCCAAATGACCGTTTCACAGGGTCGTATATCAGACATCCTGCATATCAAATATTTACATTACAATTCATAGCAGTAGCAAAATTACAGTTATGACGTAGCAATGAAAATAATTTTATGGTTGGGGGTCACCACGACATGAGACACTGTATTAAAGGGTTGTAGCATTAGGAAGGTTGAGAAGCACTGCCCTGGAGGGAGTTACAGGGAGGTATGAGCAGCCTGACATGGGTGGTGGGAACTGAACTTGGGTCCTCTGCAAGAGCAGGGGGTGGGGTGGGGGGGGACTCAGAACCAGTGAGCCGCCCTTCTGGCTCTCTAGAACTGTCGTCCAGTATAAGATTCAGGAGAACTGGCTGGCTGACCAACTCAGCTGCCACCCAGGCTCAGATCCAGAGCTTTGAGTTGGCCCATCTCAACATCCACCCCATCTATGAACTCCAGGAGCATGTGAAAGGACAACAGTGCCATGGCACAGGGCAACAACAGGATATCTGAGAGGAGTCCTGGTGAGCATCCAGCAGCAGAGCCCAGAGGCCTTGAACCAGGCCAGCGACTCACTGCAATGAACATTTGCAAACGAAGACGTGTGGACGAAAGGATGACACTGTGGGACACACTGTGACACACCACAGCTTCCATGGCAAGATGTTTGTTTGGGTTTTGGGAAGTCATGGGGGGAGGTTGCAAGGGCAGAGGGCAGATAGGAAGGGACACGGAGACGAGTGGGGTTGGGGTGCGTGATGTGACATTCACAAAGAACCAATAAAAAGGTTTTTTTTAAAAAAAATCCAGTATAAAGGACTGGAGAATCCAGTATAAAGGATGGCTCAGCGGTTAAGAGCACTGACTGCTCTTCCAGAGGTCCTGAGTTCAATTCCCAGAAACCACATGGTGGCTCACAACCATCTGTAATGGGATCTGATGCCCTCTTCTGGTGTGTCTGAAGATAGCTACAGTGTACTCACATACATAAAATAAATAAATAAATCTAAAAAAAAACTCCAGTATGACACTATATTCAGGATGACGATTCAGGGGTATGTGTAATCAGCCCCTGAAGCACTCCAGCCGACAGTGGTTGTAATTGTTTTTCCTTGTTTCCTTATGGAGTGAAGGATCGGAGTCAGGGCCTTGAACATGGTAGGTAAGTCCTTTACTGTGGAGCTAGTCCCTTAGTCCAGTGTTCAATGAAGTGTTTAAATGAAGGCCCTTAAAAGGACTGTGATTTAATCTTGATGTTCTTATTAACAAGAAAAAAAGGGGGGAGCACCTTCTCCTAAGGGTTAGAGGATTATCAATATAAGGAAACATTTTATTTCTCCATCCCAATGAAAGAACAGGAAAAGTGTGTTCATGCCCAGTCAAAGATCTTTTTTTGCTCGGGGACACGTTCTTCCAAACATTCTGAAGGAAGGCCATTTTCCATGGGTGATTGTTGAACTGACAATTCTTTCTTAGCTCAGTGGTAAGTTACTAATACAGAGTCCTATAAGATGTACAGCCCCTGAGGGAATCAGTTACAGACGAGGGCGAGCTACCTGGCACAGATGCTTAGGCTCCAGACTCCAGCACGTGGAGTGTTTTTAAAAGCAGGGGCCTCTCTTTCTGACTTTGTCTCTCCAGGCCTGAGCACCCTCTTAGGACTCTGGGACTCATTCATTAGTTTGAGAAACATTCACAGTAAGGAGACACATCTGAGACAACCCTCCACCACCACCACCGAAAAAAAAGAGTAACCACTGCTCTGACGTCACTCCTTTCTTTCTGCTTTTCTGAAGAGAGGATTTTTCGGTGTAGACCTGGTTGTCCTGGAATTCACTCTGTAGACCAGGCTGGCCTCAAACTCACAGAGATCTACCTGTCTCTGCTTCCTGAGTGTTGGGCTGGGATTAAAGGCGTGCACCACCCACTCTCTGACCACACTTTGTTTCCTGAACCTACCTCCTCAAACCTCTCTGCTACCCCTTGGGTTGAGGACTTGGTCAGTTAGACATTCAGAGTAACCCTGCACCATCATGGTGTTCCAAGCTTTCTTCTGTCTGATCCACCCTTCTCCCGCTGTTGAGTAATCTCAACAACACAAAAATCTCACCCTCTTCCGACTTCAAATGCACACTTCGTTCCCAACAAAGTCTATACCCCTGCCATAGCAAGACATAGCTGAAGACCTTTTCACCCCACACCCCAGCCTGTGCCCACCATCACAGTCACACAGAGCCTCCTCATCACTTCTGTCCATGTCCTCTGACTTTTTCAGACTCAAGTCAATCTGCCCTTGGAGCATGTCTGTCACTCCCTCCTGTGGGCTCCTCAGACTGAGACTTCTCCCTTCCCCCTGGATCCCAGACCAGTCCTCTGGGCAGCTGTCTTTGTCCCTGATACCTAATGCAAGCCCCACTTACTAGGGGCTGTAGCAGTGGCTGAGACTTCCTGTCTCTGTTCTATTCTCCCAGGCTGATACTCTGAAAGATAGAGGGAAAATCCGTTTATTTCCGAACCTTTGGAAGTTTCCCAAGCGCTTGAAAATGACGCTGAAAAATTGTTTCCTTGCTATGTCAAAATCTCCCCCAGATCCCTCAACTGTTTATCCAGTGTTGGTGTTACATAACTGTAGGCTGATGTAGTCTTAGAGGAATCTCATTATATAATTCAGTCCTCACCACAGCTCACTTGTCCTGTTATAAATCTCAACTGGGCAATGGGAAGGAGAAATGGGACAGAGAGAGCTCTGTACCCGCGGCTTCCCACCATCCCAGAGGCCTTTCCATGATGCTCGTCTGGTAGCTGGGACCAAGAAGAGATTCCCTCCACCTCTGCTGGCCTGCAGAAACCTCTGGCTCCGGATACTGTCTTTGGCCTCCTCTTCCAGCCAGGAGCAGCTAAGACCCGTTCTGATTTTTAGCTCTGTAGCAGCAAAGACGTGCCAACCCAGCAAAGACGTGTTTTTCTAGATCAGCGGGGGTGTTATTACAAGTGTTCAGCAAGAGAGGATAAGGAAGCTAAGAGAGTCAAAGCATCTTAAAAATAGCTTGTAATGCCGGGCGGTGGTGGCGCACGCCTTTAATCCCAGCACTTGGGAGGCAGAGGCAGGCGGATTTCTGAGTTCGAGGCCAGCCTGGTCTACAGAGTGAGTTCCAGGACAGCCCGGGCTATACAGAGAAACCCTGTCTCGAAAAACCAAAAAAAAAAAAAAAAAAAAAAAAAAAATAGCTTGTAATATGGGAATTGCCTGGCCAGCCAAAGATCCGGATGTGTTCGACGCGGCAGGGCGTTTTCCAACCACTGTTTGGCAGGTGGTCCACCCACTTATCGTCTCCTCCCACCGTATTCCCTGATGTCCAAAGCAGAGGCCCTTGCTGGTCAATTCCCACCTGGGCTGTAAGGATGCTGCAGCTGGACTGCATGCAGCCCCACTGGTAAAGGAAGGCAAGCCCCGAGCCAGAAGAAAGTTCTAGGTGTTTCTGCCAACTGTTGTTTGTACTTGCTCTTTTAAGATTGTCTCTGTAAGTCACCCTGAAACAGAGACAGTATTGGGCACCTACCCAGGAGGCAGAGTGAGAATATGCAGGAGTGGGGGTAAGGAAGGGGCACAAACCCTATAAGGGACGTGGGGGGGGACACTCTGGGTGAGCTGGGGACAGAGGCGCCAAGTAGAGACAGAAGCTTGGGTGGGAGGACACTAGGGGTGCAGTGGGATGAGTGGAGGGACCGGCCCCCACACTCACCGCGGGTGGGAGCTGGGCGGGGCCTCGTGGGGTCCGCTCCTGGGCCCCCCAGGCCTCCGACTCGGCCAGCAACTCGTCCAGCAGGCGCAGGGTCTCCTCCCGGCCGCCGGGGGGCGTCGCGGGGCGGGGGTCACGGCTGCTCTCCTCCTGCGCTGCGGCCGTCGGGGCCTGGTCAGCCGCGCCGCCCTCCGAGCCTGTCTCTCCCGGGCCCGTCTGGCGCCTGTCAGGGCTGCGCCGCCGCCTCGGGATCCGGCCGCTCCGGCTGCTGCCGCTGCCCATGGCGCGCACTCAGCCTGGAGCGCGCAGCCGGGGGAGCCGGGCGGGACTGGGGCGGGAGCGCTACAGGCGGGATGGAGCGAGGGAGCAGCAAGGGGGATTCTGGAGGACTGACGGGGGGGGGGGGCGGGGGGGGGGGGGGGGGAGTCGGGGGGGATGGGGGAGATGGGAGATGGGGGGAGCGGGAGGAGTCACAGGGGGCGCGGAGATGGGAGAGACAGAGACGCAAGGGTGATCTGGGAGCCTGGAGGAGGTAGAGGCAGTTAGGGGAGGGGGGTGGCGCTCCTCAGGGGGAGAATGGGAGGATGGGGAAAGACATGGAGGAGATGAAGGACGGGGTGGGGGGGGTAGCGCCGGGGGACAGGGAGAAAATGGGGAAGGTGATCCTGGGGGGAGGAGGGTAAGAGGGATGAGGAGAGGATGGGAGTGCCTCGCCGGGAGACTCTCAGGAGGTGGGAAGTTTGGGGTAGGGTGGTACAGGAGGGAGTACAACAGGGTTAATGTATGGAAGGGAACCTTAAAGGGTGCAGGTTGGGTAGACTGGTGGAAGGGAAATCAGGGCGAGGGGATCATCTTGGGGAAGTTTGGGCGAGTCTCATGGAGCACGGGTGGGAGTCATGCTGGGGGCAAGGGGACCAAGACACTGGCTGAAGGAAGCTGGGGATGAAAGACAGAGGACTGCTTGCAGCAGAGCCAGATGCCAGGGGAAGGAGTTGGAGAGAGAGTAGCGCTGACGGAAAGGAGGTCGTTGGGACTTCAGGTACAGGTCTGAGACAGCAGAGGCAAAGCGAGCGAGGGAAGGAGACAGAAAAGGAGAGCCAGAGATGTGAGAAAGAGAATTTCCAGAGAGGGGAGAGCTTCAGGGTGGGCAGCCTGGGCGCGGGTTGAGAGACGTGTACCAAGAGCCCTGGGCGGGGCACACTGAAGGGGCGTGTCCCTGGACAAAGACTCCAGGGTAGGAGAGAGGACTCTGGAGTGGGCGTGTGAACCTGGGAGGGAAGGCTGCGCAGGAGCCTGGGGTGGTTAGATTGTGGAAGATTGCGACCCTCGGGTCAGGACAGGGTCAATTTAGAGGTTGAAAGAAGTCCTTCCTCTTCACCCCTGTCTGACCTCCGATTGGAGTTCCTCTGGCCGGTTCACCGCAGGCTCTGGCTTCCTTTTCTCCAGGTATAGCTCTGGTTACTAAAACTGTCACTGCTAAGGTTCCTTCAGGTCTAGAGCGACCCTGGCTTGGCTAGATTTGTGCTTTTATGGGATAATTTCTGGAGGCTTACCCATAGGCTCATTCTTTGCCTGGTTCCCTTCCAGCGCTTTCCAAGGCAGGGTGGTTTAAATACTGAGTGTAGTTTTCTCTGGTTTTGACTTGCCAATAACCCCCATCCATACTGGTCAACCCAATGTGAAAGTGGAATTTAGGGCTAAATTCTCCCAACCCAACGGTGGCATGAAATTTTACTATTTTCATCACCACAGGAATAGACGTTAAAAACCTATGCTCACAGAAGTGGGAACACACGAGACCACATCTGTGTGGTGTGTTTGTATTACCAAGAGAACTAGAGAAGACCAAGTGTTTACACTTCCCCTTCCTTTTTAAAATGGGATTTGTTGGTCATCCATCCAGATGTAGAGATGAGGCCAAATGCATGACTTGATGACATTTGGGTGTTCCAAGTGTACAGACGTGTCTAGGTTAGAGATTACTGACATAAATTTTCTCTTTATGAAAACAAATCTCATCTTGAAACTCTTCAAGCCAGGGGGAGTGGAAAGTCAGGGAGAACAAATTTTTCTTGAGCACAGTTCAACTCAGTTTAATCATTTAAAAGAAAACATGTTTTACTCCTGCCCAAGTAGAGTCTAGTCATGTGACTCTGGGTTTAAATATAGCCAGAGCTCCTGTGTTCTCCAAAGCAGCCAAATTTTTCTCGCTACTCTTGACTTCAACTGTTTCCCCCAGACTTGTCTCCGTAGCTATGCTTGCACAGGAGTTGTGCCAAAGCCTGTGTTCTCTCTGAGATCACGTATAATGTCAGCCACATTTGGAGTCCTGGCTTCTGTGAGAGTCTGGAAGGCCTGGACAGAGGGAGGCATCGCACCGCATGCCTGTCATCCCAGCACTCACAAAGCAGAGGCAGAGGATTAGGAGATCAGGCCATCTCCTTTCTTAGCAAGTTTGAGAGGATAGTCTGGACTGCAGGAGACCATCTGAAAGTAAAACCCACACTGACACTGAGCTAGCAGGCAGCCTCCAAGATCATTTCTAAGGGTAGAGAAGAGTCTGCCCAGAGCGAGTTAGTCCCAGGAATCTCAAAGAATAAAAGACTAAACTTCCAGCCATGAGTCTCACGGCCACACGTAGACTTTTGGTTTTGTTTTGTTTGAGACAGGGTCTCAGTTTGTGACTCTGGCTCACCTGGAACTCATTATGTAAACTAGGCTAACCTCAAACTCACAGAGATCTGCCTGCCTCTGCCTTTTGAGTGCTGGGATTAAGAGCTCAGGCCACTAGGGCTGTCTCCATACCCAGACGACTTTCTATGGCAAGTCTGTGGGGGCATTTTCATGTGGGGCTGGGAGGTATAAGTGTGGTGGTTTGAACAGGTATGGCCCCCGTAGACTCGTATGTTTGAATGTTTGGCCCATAGAGAGTGGCACTATTAGGAAGTGTGGCCTTGCTGGAGTGGGTGTGACCTCTGAGAACCTGTATCACTGTGAGGAAGGGCTTTGAGGGCTCTTATGCTCAAGCTCCACCCAGTGTGGCACAAAGTCTCCTGCTGCCTTTGGATCAAGATGTAGAACTCTCAGCTCCTCCAGCACCCTGTCTGCCTGCATGGCGCCATGCTCCCTACTGGGATGATGATGCAGTAAACCTCTGAAACTGTAAGCCAGTCCCTATGAAATATTTTCCTTTATAAGAGTTGGTCATGGTGTCTCTTCACAGCAATAAAACTAAACCAAGACAATAAGAAAATAAACTGAGCAAGCCCTGGGGAGCACGCCAGTGAGCAGTGTTCCTCCATGGTCTCTGCTTCGGCTTCTGCCTTCCAGTCCCTGCCCTGACATTTTTCAGTGATGGACAGTGGAATTTTTTTTTTTTTTGAGCCAGGATCTCAAGTAGTTCAGACTGGCCTTGAACTCACTGTGTATCCTAAGATGACCCTGGCCTTCCTCTGCCTCCCAAGTGCTAAGGCTACAGGCATATACCTCCACGCTGCATCCATGTGGTGTCGGGGATCAAACCTGGGGCTTCAAGCATAGGCAAGCACTGTCCCAGGCTGAGCTGTATACTCCCAGTTCTCACCCTTGTGTGTCTTCTTTTAATGCCACTGAATTACGTGAGAGGCTTAGACCCTCAGGACCTCTGGTTCAAACCACAGGTTATGGCAGAGGTGTCTGGTAAAGCATCCGCTTAGCTTGTTACTTGAGACCCTATTGAAATGAAGACCACGGAGCTGTGAGGGACAGGGAGGGACCATCTCAAATGACCCATCTCACCACATCCTCAAAGGTGGAAAGCTGATAGCTGAGAGCAGCCAGATGAAAGGAACAGAGGAGCTGAAACCTTCCATCTATGTAGGAGCTAGAGACATGGGGCCAGAGGACCAGTTGATGGTTTTTATGTATGGCAAGGGTGTCACCTCCACCCCTCCTGTTCATACTTATGTACTTTTGCTATGCTGCTATAAATGTGTCTCTTTCTGGGATGCTCCCGGGAGAACAGCATCCCTTTGGAGCTCAGGGTGGTATGATGCAGAGTAGGGTAGAACAGAATGGGCTTGGGTGGGTTGGGATGCTAGACAGGAATTGCTAATAGGCATTATCAGACTGGAGAAACAGGCAAGAAGCTGGGCTACAGGGCTCAGGAGCACAGGCCTGACCAGGAGCTAGGATATGGTCCCTCATGTGGGAGGGCTACCCCTTCTCCTGGGATATGGACTCAGCAGTTGAAAGGCTCTCTGGATAGGACAAGTGCTAGGTGCATATGGTTGCCTCCAGTTGTTGCCTCCCTGTGTGTCCTTTCTCCTTGCAGACCTGTCGCTCATCTTCCTATCACCCACCATGCAGTGGGAGATTAGGTTGCTGCTCAGGCCCTAAGCACCACTACAGTGATCAACTGTGGAAACCGTCTAGGGCAGACAAGAGGGCAGTGAGGAGAAGGAGCAGGCCTAGGTCAATTTGGCCATTAATAATATATAATGTTTACCCCGGAAGTGAGTCTTGGTGATGCCACCGGCTAAGGGCACGGGACAATAATGAGAGTGGCCCATGTTATGCCCAACGTGGAGAGCAGCTGTGGAAACTGACTTGTCAGTTTCCCTTCTGCACACAGCCAGCCACACAGCCCCAGAGAACTGCAGCAAAGCAAGACTCCTGCTTCTTGTTAGAGATCTGACAATTGCCTGCTCTGTTAATCAGCTTGGAGGAGTAGAGGTCTCCAGCGAAAGCTTGGCTTAAGTATTAAATGTGTCTTGGTGCTTTGACTTGTAACTCATTAACTATTAAGTCAAGTTGAAGTCCCAGCCTCCTCTGAGGTTACTCATTAATACCTATGAACTCTGTACAAGCACCAGGCTGACAGCACCTCCTGTCCCTGGAAATGCCCCTTTCCTCCAACAGTATGATAGTAGGTGTTGTCAACCTGACAGAACCACTTGGAAGATGGGTGCCCCTGGGCCTTATGTTAAATGATGCCGTCAAATGCATCTTAGTTACATGTTGGTTCTAATGCTTTGAATTAATCCAGTCCCCAAAATTAGGAATCTGTGTGTCCAAACGCTGAAGTTCATTGTCCCCAATTGGCTTTTGATTGATCAATAAACAGCCAACGGCCAATGGCTGGACAGGTAGACCTTTAGATTTACCTGAGCTAGGAACTGGGAGAGAGAAAGGAGGAGAATCACCTTGATTCGGAGAGAAAAATTATCTGAAATATAGGTGAGAAAGAATGTGGTCCCTGGAAGGGCTGCCCAGAAGTGTCTTGGGCAGCAAACACATGGGAG